TGGTCGGGTTCTTGTTTTCCTTTTTCCATCATTAACATCATTAATATAAGCTATCAATAACCCTGTCGTTTGGAGCATAGCTTCACAGTATTGATTTGCGCAGCTATTCATCTCTGCCATAGAAGACACGGAATAATTTTCGCATTACAGTAGCTTGGATTTGCTTTTAATTCATATTTAAAGCTGCAACTGGCTCTGTGGAGCTCTCTGCGAAAGACTGGAGGCGCCTAATTAATAATAAGTTAGAAACGAAGGAAGGCACCAGCGGATAAATAATTAATACAGACATCTCTGTCTCTTTGAGTATTGCTACTTTAAAAATTTAGACTTACCAGGGCCATACTGTAAGTCTGCAAGTTATATTGAGGAGATGATTTAAGAAAGCTATTTTTTTTTCCTGAAATACAATGCTAAATTATTTACGGTGTTTTGCAATCTTCCATAAGTTCCTTCATTAACAAGCGCTGCGGTTTGCTCCGGGGGGTGCGGGAGAGCGCGGCTGCAGAGGGACCGCGGCGGCTCGGCCGGGCAGCGCCCGGGGCTCGCTCGGTGCCCTCTCCCAGCTCCGCGTCCTTCGGCCGGCCAGACCCCACCACGGGGGCTCCAGAGGGGAGAAGGGAAGAGCCCAGCGCCCTTAGGCGGGTGGCAGGGGCCGGCTGGGAGCGAGTTCAGCCACCGCGCTGCCGACCCTGGGTTCCACGAGGCTCCCCTCGGGCAGAAGTCCGGGCCCGGGGGAGAGGGGGAAAGGCGGGACCCCCCCGGGCGGGCACCCGCAGCGAGCCCCCGCCGCGCCGCAGCTTCCCCTGAAAGCCAGGCCCTCCCCCACCTGCCCCGGCCGGCGCAGCCCTCTGTTCTCTGCCTGCCCCCGACAGATGTATATGTTTTTGTCGCCAAGCAAGTTTCCAAGAAGCTCGACAGGGGAAAGTCTGGAAAAGTTAATCCCCCCCGGCAGCTGTTGGCTTTGGGAGCCTTCGAGCGTCACCTTTGACACGCTCCCCGTGCGAGGGGACCCGGTGCCGCAAGCTGTCACCGCACAGGAGGCGCGGAGGGCGCGGGCGGCGGCAGCCCCCTCACACGCCATTAAAAGAAAATCAAAGTGGAAAAGTATAATACAAATAAAAATAAATTAAAGGGGAAAAAAAAAGAAAGAAAAGAAAGGAAAAGGAAAGAAAAAAAAAATAAAGAGAGAAAGAAGAAAAGAAAAAGGGAAGAAAACCAATTGTGTCCGATCGGTTGCAGCGCGCTGTGGTCGCTGCCCCGGCCGGGCCGCCACGTCGGGCGGGCCCCGGTGCCCGCGCGGTGTTTGCTGGCGTCAGGCGGGAGATTACGGCCGTTTCATGGTGTCATTAGCTCGGATTTAAAAAGCACACACACGCCACGCAATTCAAACAAGCAAAGTTGCGTTTTAAGTCCGCTCCGAGTATCTGCTGATCAAATAAAGACTTAAGGGCGGTAACGATTATTCTGTTAAATATATGGTACTTGACTGCACAAGCAGTAATTGATTAGCGCACCGAAATGAGCTCTCTCCGGCGCTCGTCCTTCGCCAGTGGGGTGGGAAGCTCCGCGGGGGAACCGCGCCGGGCTCCGCGACGAGGGGAGCCCACGCACGGCACCCCCGACGGCGGAGAAGGGAGGCTGCGGGGAGAGTGCCGGCCTCGTCTGCCCCGTCCCGGGCTTCTGCGAGCCCATCCGGGGCTCCCGGGGCACCCTGCAGCTGAGACGGGACCGGGGTGGTCGGGCCCGAGGTGCTGCTCTGTCCTCCGCGCCGGCGGCTTTTGCGCACCAGAGCCGCTTCGTCGTTGGGTCACCCCAGAGTAACGGAAAAAATATTTTAAAAATAAAAGATGCATGCAGGGCTGGGGGGAGCTGGGTGCGTTTATACGGCCACTCTTTTCTAAGGTTAGATATTGAACCTCGACGGAGGCCGGCGTGTCACAGGACTCTCCAAATTGTTTGCGGTCGGGTTTATACTCATTTCTTGAAGAAAAATTGGATGTTGCAATTTCCTACAAACTCGAGGAAGTAACATATTCGCTCTGACGTTTGCTTTGATAACTAATCGCTAAATACACGGAGATTAAATATTTTTAATTAAACTGTAAATTGTGTACAGATATTGATAATGAAGAAGCTGACAATGTTTCGATTGGATCTGTGACATCACCTGCGTTGGCTTGGGAAACAATCACAGCTGTTCACTTCGGTCTCAAAACGTTCTCGATTATTTTATTTTATTACTGTATTTTATTGTATTTTATTTTTGTATTCTATTGTATTTTATTTTATTTCATCCTAAACATTTTCTGAGGTCATTGATTAGGTTTCAGGTTTATTTTTTTCTTCTTTGGCAGATATACATTTCTTTATCTATTCCTCGCTATCAGAAATGGAGATACCGTCAGCGTTAACGTTACAAAAATTTAGAGAGTTGTGGAGGCGTTTAGGACTGGGGGTGGCTAGGGTGGTAGGAATAGTATTCTGTGCGTAGGATTTTTTTAGCACAAAATAAAATACAGGGAACTCCTTGTGCCCAGGGAAAATAAATGGTAGTGAGCAATTGATTTCTTTCGGAGACGGGGTTCAGCAGCTCAGAATTCTTAAAAGTGTTTGTATGTATGTGTGTATGTGTGTTAATTTCGGGAAATACATAAAACCGCTGTGGAAATTCTGAATTTACAGAGGCGAAAAGTATACTCGCTTGCAGGGCCATACTCGCAACACACATAGAGATGATCGCTGAGATTCTAAAAGTTTCCTGCGAGCCTCCCAGCGCCTGGTGATTTTTGAGCTCCGAGCGCAGGCACACGCAGGCTGTGCACCGCAGCCTCGCTCGGGGCCGGTCCCGGTGCAGCCCCCACGCCGGGCTCTCCGGGCACGGTCCCGTGAGCGCCCACGCGTGCGAGAGGCACCGGGGGCTCCCGCTCAGCTCCGGGTCCCGCTGCGGGGCGGGGGTGCGGGAGGACGGGCCAGACGCTTCGGTGCGAGGCACGGTCCGCACCCCGCGGCGGGGCCGCACCTACTCCCGCGGGCAGCAGGGACGGAGCGGGGCCAGGCCTGGCTCCGGCCATGGGGCTCCGACCGAGGCCCCGAGGCCGCTGGTGCGGTACTTCGGGCTCAAAGCGCGGGGCGAGGGGTCTCGCTGCCTCGGTGAACCGGAGAACAGTGAGACCCCACGGGACCCCGAGCCATGCCCATCTCCTCGCACCCGAGGGGACTCTCGGCAGGCCCTGTCCGTAAAGTTATTGCCATAACTCCGAGAAAAGTAACCCCAGGGGCTGATTTCAGCTCGCTGCCAGGGGGACTCTGCCCCAGGAGTGGCTCCTGTCTCTGTCCCTGCGTTCCCCGGAGGCCGCTGGCAGCGACTCCTGACTCCTCGCAGGGAAGGGGTCTCGGAGCTCTCAGCGGAGCGCAGGAGGGTGACTCCGGCCCCGCACGGGTCCCGCGGGACGCAGCAGCTCGGCCCCGCTCTGCGTGCCGCCGGTGCGGGCTTTGCCAGGACAGGTGCTCAGCTCCTATCCCCCGCTCCATGGAAAAGACACCGGGAGCCCGGCCTGAGCCCCATCCGCTCGCTGTCCCCGGGCCCGGCCGGGGCGATGTGGACAGGTTGCTCCGCAGGGTGCCGAGGGCGAGCGCGGTCCCCGACAGCAGTGCGGGGGGAAGCGGCGGCGGCCTTTGTGCGCTGCCTGCCCGGTGCCGCCCGGCTGCGGCCCCGCGGCTCTCCCGCGGCTCGGCTCGGCTCGGCCCGTCCCTCCCGCCGCTCGGCGCCGCGCACACGCTGCACTCTGCCCGGCGTGGTTCGTTATTGTTAATGGGCGAACAATAGGCACATCTGCCCTTTCTTCCAGCATAAAGGCACCTTAGCTAACGAGGGGGGCCGGCGGGTGAGCTCGCTTGTTCTTTCTCCTCCGCCTCCTTTTCTTTCTTTTTGAAGAAAAAATAAAAGAAAACCAGCGGCATGTCCGGCTGCTGGGCGCCTCGGGACATATGCTCGCCTTGCACTGCCGGGCACGCTCGGGGTCCCCGGCGGGGGCTGCAGGGGGGCGTCCCTCCCCATGGCACCGCCCGGCCGGACCCGCGGCACCCCCGGCAGGGCCGCTGGAGGGGTGCGGGAGCTGCGCCGCGGGGCCGGCCCCGGGACGCGGCGCCGTGCGGCTCCCACCGCCCTCCCCAGGCCGGGCAACGGGAAGTTTCCCCGCAGGGCACCTGAGAGGAGCGATACCGGGACAGCGTGGGGTAGATACGGCGGGGAGTGCGGGGGACACAGGGGGCACAGCCCGCGGGCGCCGCGGGGCAGGGCGGTCCGGTGTCACCTCCGGAAGCTCCCGGTGAGGAGGCTCCGCGGTCACGGAAAACGCGGAGTCACCGAAGGGGCGGGGCGGGTGTCCCTGGCCGGCAGCGGGGGCGGGCTCTGGGCCCTTTGTGCCCGGGGCGGGGGCGGCGGGCCCGGGGCAGCAGCGGCGGCACCGCCGGCTCTGAGCGCCGCCGCGCGGGGCTCGCCCGCTTAATAGCGGCGCTGACGTCACGGGGCGGGGCGGGGCGGGCGGGGGCGCCGCGCGCAGGCGCGGTGCGGGCGGCGGCGGCGCTGCAGCACGGAGCGGAGCCGGAGCGCGGGGCAGAGACAGAGACAGAGCCATGGCTGGGGATGGCGAGGGACGCGGCCACACACCCGCCGCGGCCGCGGCTGCGGGGCCCGGCCTGAGGGAGCGGCGGCCCTAGGAACGGCCCGGCGGCGCCAGCCAGCAGCGGGAAAAAAACAAATAAATACATTGCCACGAAATAAAAATTAAAAAGAAAAAAAAAAAAAAAAAACCGAACCAACCGAAACCGGGAAAGCCAGCAGCCCCGGCAGCAACAGCAGCAGCAGCACCGCCACCACCAGCCCGCAGCGCTCGCCCGCCGCCGCCGGCCCGCGGGAGCAACCGGCCGCCGCTAAGAGCTCCGGGACGCCCCGCCGCCCACCAGATAGATGTGCGGTCCCGCCGCCCGCACGGCCGACGATGAACGCGCAGCTGGCGATGGAGAACATCGGCGATCTGCACGGGGTGAGCCATGAGCCGGTGCCCGCCGCCGCCGACCTGATGAGCGGCAGCCCCCACCACCGGAGCGCGGTGGCCCACCGCGGCAGCCACCTGCCGGCCCACCCGCGCTCCATGGGCATGGCGTCCATCCTCGACGGCGGCGACTACCACCACCACCACCGGCCGCCCGAGCACGCCCTGACCGGCCCCCTGCACCCCACCATGACCATGGCCTGCGAGACACCCCCCGGCATGAGCATGAGCAGCACCTACACCACGTTAACCCCTCTGCAGCCTCTACCTCCCATCTCGACGGTCTCGGACAAGTTCCCTCACCACCACCACCACCATCACCACCATCACCATCCCCACCAGCGGATACCGGGCAACGTGAGCGGCAGCTTCACGCTCATGCGGGACGAGAGGGGTCTGGCGTCTATGAACAATCTCTACACCCCCTACCACAAGGATGTTACCGGCATGGGGCAGAGCCTCTCTCCGTTGTCTGGATCGGGCCTGGGGAGCATCCACAACTCCCAGCAAGGGCTGCCCCACTACGCTCATCCCAGTGCCACCATGCCCGCCGAGAAAATGCTCACCCCAAACGGATTTGAAGCCCACCACCCTGCCATGTTAGCCAGGCATGGCGACCAACACCTCACCCCCACCTCCGCTGGCATGGTGCCTATCAACGGGATCCCACACCACCCCCATGCCCACCTGAATGCCCAGAGCCACGGGCAGATCCTGGGCTCTGCCAGGGAGCAAAACCCTTCTGTAACTGGTTCGCAGGTCAACAGTGGAAGTAATTCAGGGCAAATGGAAGAAATCAATACCAAAGAAGTAGCTCAGAGGATCACCACCGAGCTCAAGCGGTACAGCATCCCCCAGGCTATCTTCGCCCAGAGGGTGCTGTGCCGCTCTCAAGGGACGCTCTCAGACCTGCTGAGGAACCCCAAGCCCTGGAGCAAGCTCAAATCCGGCCGGGAGACCTTCCGCAGAATGTGGAAGTGGCTCCAGGAGCCGGAGTTTCAGCGGATGTCTGCTCTGCGGCTTGCAGGTGAGCCCGCTGCGGGGTGTTCGGGGCACGGCAGCGGCAGAGCGGGGCCTCGGGCCTGGGCAGGCCGCCCCGGTCCCTGCCCGTCCCTGAAGAGCAGCACCGATCCCCCGCTCCGCCACTCCATTTCTCTCCCTTCCCCTCTCCCTCTCCCTGCTCAGTGCACCGGCACCGTCCGGCTCCTCCGCGCCGCGCTCAGACAAAGCCGAGCCGGGGCTCGGGGCTCGGGCAGCGCAGTGCGGCGCCCCGGCTCTCCCCGTTCCCCGGGCCAGGCTCGCCTGCCGCGGGCAGGAGGACGCCCAGCGCGCCCGGTAACGGGACGCCGCCGAAAGCCGCTCCGGCCGGCGGCAGCGCTGCCCGGAGCGCGGAGGGCGAGGCGGAAATGCTTGAACTGGCGGTTGAACCGGGCCCACGGACGGGGTACGGGGGAGCCCCGGTAATGCGCCGCGGAGAGGAGTCGGTGCCTCTGCTTTGTGTGGGGGGCGGTGGGCTCAGGTCGCGGCGGGGCTCGGGGCCCGCGTCCCGCTGGGGCTGGGTGAGCTGGGACAGGCGTTTGGTTCGAATGAGCCGAGCCCGGCGGGTGAGCGGTGCCTGAGAAATGCTGGTGGCTAAAATCGTTTGATTTCATTTTCTAAATCTTTTTAACTGGTTGTAGTTATCATTAGGCCGTGCACTTTGAGTTTCGCGTGGATGTCTCTGCGTGACACAAGCCGGCCGTGTCGCGGCTCCGCTGCCCCGCAGGCTCGCCCCGCTGCCGGTGCTCGCTGCCCGGGGTGCTCCCGAGCGGGTCCCGTATTGTCTGCTCAGAGATGGCCGTCCCGGTCCGGACCTGTGCTCTGCCGCCTCCCCAAACCCTCCCGTCTGCGCTCCGGGTGCAGAGCCCGGCTTTACTACACCGCGAGTGAGGGTTTGTTAATTAAGTGATAGGTCTCCATTAATTTGTCCCTGGAGAACGCAAGACAGTCAATCCGAGTTGGAGCCAGGGTCACTGATCCGTTTCACGGACAAAAATAAGGGAAGGGCCAAATCTTTCTCCTTTCAAAAGCACAACGGGTCTTGCGCTTTCGACTACCGAGACGGTGAGGGCTTGCGAGCGTTCCCCGAGTGTGCAGGGACGCGGCTGGGCCACCACCGTGCTCCGTGCCTGTTTTCAGTCAACCACCTTGTTCCAGAAACCTGAAGCTGAGCTAGGAAGGGTCCGGGGCAGGGCCTCCCTCCCCGCTGTAGCTGGCCCTTAGGTGCGCGCCGGTGGGAGGACGTTGCTCTCTTTGGCTTCCACTCCTGCGGAGTCGGTTTCAAAGGTCTGAGCTCTCAGAAATTGCCCTTTCCGCCTTCCCTTTCTCAGCAGCCACCCCACCAGCGAAAAACCCTCGTCTTGCTGGTGCTACCCAGGAGAGGAGGATGGAGTTTGTGTTTCCAATATCCCCGTAACGATTGCTAAGGCGAACTTTCTTCGATTTGGAGCGTGTTTTTACGACAATTTGGTCGACCTGAATCTCCGCTCATTTGCATAGATCGATACTGGAAACAACCCCTCGATTCGGAGCCTGCTGGCATCCCTTCCCTGGCGCTGCCGGCCGGGGAGCTCTGCCAGCCCCGGCTGCTGCAGGCCGGGAGGGAGGCAGGGAAGGAAGGAGGCGGCCGTGCTCTGCCCAGCTGCCGGGTCCGGAGGGTCCCATTGTTCGCTGCTGCCCCCAGACCGCCCCTTCTTCCAGCCACCTCAGCGCTGCCCTCTCATAAACGGATCCCGGTAATCCCGTTAGAGAGACAAAGCCTCATTATTCCGCCTTCCCTTTCCGATGAAACCCCAAAGCTGGCACCTTACAGAAACAGCCTCCCCGGGGCCGAGAGGGGCTGGCAGCGGGGGGGGGGTCGGGATGTACCGCCCGCACCGGGGTGTCCGCGCGTCCCTCCCGGCCGGGCCGGGCCCGCAGAGCTCTCCCCGCGTACCGGGGGCTCCGGGCCCGCAGAGCTCTCCCCGCGTACCGGGGGCTCCGGGCCTCGCCGGGCGCTGCCCACCCGGGCGCCGGCAGCACGTGGGCATTTGCATAGAGCTGCGTCCCTGTCAGTGGGGCGGTCCCGGGGCCCCCGCCCCGCCCCGCGCAGCCTGCGCGCCCTTCCGCGCCCCTCCGCGCCGCGCTGCCGGCGACCGGCTGTAAATGCATAAAGTATCGATTTTATTTTGTGCAGGTTTTAAATGTGTGATGATCTTACTAAGTGGTAAAAATCTGCCCCGATTGATATTGATGTATGAACATCAATTCAAAATAACATAAATTACTGCGGCCGACGCAAATTAAATTTCACGTCCAAATTATAACTCACTCCCGGGCGTTTAGAGAATTATCAGGTAGATAAATACCCAGAGCCGCCTTCATTTCTTCCCTTTCTGATTTCCTGCAGACAACAACCGGGAGGCAGTGAGGGGGATGCAGCCTGCTTATTTTAGGCCTCGCGGTCTCGCCTTGCACTTTATCTTGAGTATTTGCCCCTTCCAGCCGTCCCTGGGGGATTCCTACCTCCCAGATTACAGAAGCTCCGACAAATAGAAGAAAAATTGGTAGTTACATGGAAGCAGGATTGAGGTCTTGACACTTCCTGGGCTGTCTCTTGAAATGTAAGCAGAACTGCTAATTGCAAAGCTGACCTCTTCCAGCCTCCATCTTATTCATCCCATCTCCTTTCTCTTCTCTGTTCTTTTTTCCTTTGTCTGTCCCACTCTCTCTCTCCTCTCTATCACTGAATATTTATCTATTTGACTGTCTCTCTGTTAGTCTTCCCTCCCTCTCCCTCGCCTTCATTGACATTTGGAAGGGCTGTGAAGGGACGCCGAAAAAATAAATACAATTAAAAGAAAAAGTACATCCCTTCTGCAGCCTGCTGGGATTTAAGGCTGAATTCATTTCAGTTTGTTGGATTTTTTTTTCCGTGTGTGTGAGAAAGAGGAAACAGGAGAGGATAAAGGAAGAAAAAACCCCGACTTTGGCTTGTTCAGGAAAAAATAATCTGCTTCGAGCCATTCATTGTTGGAACTGCGACTGCCCGCCGGCCTCGCTCGGGCCCGCCGCTCGGGAGGAAGGGTAGCGCCGGGGAAAACGCGGCAGAGACAAATTCTGTGAAGGCGCCGGAGGAGTGTAAGCGAGCCCGAGGTTCCTTAGAACCTACTGTCGGAGTGGGTCCTTCACCGATGGGCGCCCTCTGAGCGGGCCCGTCCCGAAGGTTCCCCCGTGGGGGCTCCCCGAGCGCGTCAGCAGCGAGAGGCGCCCTGGGGAACCCGTGCTCGCCCGCGGCTCTCAGGAGGGGACAGGCCCGTCCCTCCAAAGCTGCTCCATGTTTGCCCGCGACCTGACTGCTATTTTTCATAGCTGCACCTCTTTTCCTCCACTCCTCTTATCCTTTCTCCCTCCCAGTGTGAATCCCGGCTAAGCTGAAGCCTTGGGAAGCCGGCGAGAAATTCTCGCCAAATTAACTGTAAAGAAATCGATGGAGTAATCAGAGCGTTTTCCACATTAAATATGAAATCTAATGACGCCGTTTGCACCTCTCGCCCGCCGCCGCCCCCGAGCTCACCGGGAAGGTCTGGGCCGCCCCGGCCCCGGTGGCCTCATTAGGGGCTGTTTAATATTTACCCTGCGGGCACTTTGCATAAAGGCGTTTGCATCAGGGAGGCGGGGGGCATCGACCGGGGCCTTCACCGGTGACACTCCGAGCGCGGAGCGGGCCCGGGGGAGAGGCCCTGCCCCTCCCGACCCTGCGGGCCGCCCGGACGAGGACGGCTCGGGCCTGGCTCGGCGCACCTCGGGCCGGGACAGCGGCCGCTCCGCTGCTGCCGGTGCGGGCTTGGGCCGAGGCAGGGGGCCCGGAGGCAGCGGAGGGTGGGAGAGCACCCGGAGCAGTCGTGCCCGGTGCACAGCCGGGGCAGCGCTGGGGCGCACTTGTTTGCCGGCCGTGTCCTTCGGCGGGATTGATTTACAGCCGCGTTTGCCCTTCGTTAATGTTTGCCCAGCGGGAGGAGGAGCGGGGCCGGGCGAGCCGCGTTCCTCCGCACCGGGCCGGGCCCGCCCCGCGCCCGTCCTGGCAGAGCCCCCGCCCCTCAGCGCGGCTCGGCCCCGCTGTTTGTTCGTGCGTGCGTTCGCCTGCTGTTTGTTTGTTTTAATTACCGCCGCGTGGCGGGGCGGCACCCGGGGGCCGTGCCCGCTCCCACCCTCGCTGCCGTTTGAATCAGACAGCCTCGAAACAGGGCGGCTCCCGCCCGTGGGCGCCGCCGGGGCCGCCCCGGGTCACACAGCCGGGCTGCGGGCGCGGTGCCCGCCCCGACCGGTGGGTCCGTCCGCTGCCCTCGCTGATCGCCCCTCGGTTCCCGGGGGCTCTGCGCCATCTACTGACCGCCAGCGGGCGGGAGCGGCCCCGCCGGCCCCGGCACCCGCCCGCACCGGGCAGCGGCGGCGGCTCCGGGGAGCGCTGCGAGCGGAGGGCCCCCGCCGCCACCGGGCTGGCCCCGCGCGGGACGAGTGAGGCCCCGCTGGACTTCAGCACCACGAACAGCGACCGCCGGCAGGGCCCGGCCCCAGCTCCGCCTCCGCCCGGGCGAGCCCCGCTCCCGGGCCGGCCCCCTCCCGGTTCATGGACGAGGCCGCCCGGGCGCAGGTGCTTGCTGAGCCTCCCCACGGCTGCCGGCCCCGATGGGGAGCAGCATCGCATCGATTATACGTAGCTGCAGCCGGCAATTAGTGCCGCGGTGCTGCGGCGAGCGCCGGGCCGAGCGCACGGGCTGCCCGCGGCGGGGGCGGCTCGGCTCCCGGCAGGGCAGAGCCCCGGGGGCGCCTGTTTTGGGCATGAATGCCTTCGAACTGCGTGGCCAGAGGGGAAGCGAGCTTCCCTCAGCACGGTAACTCAGCCAGGGGGGCCGGGATGCCCCAGGAGGAGAGGAGAGGTGTGTGGCACCAGGACTGTGCCCGCCGCAGGTGACACCGGTAGGGAGCCCGGGCTCCTGCCGGTGCGCA